GGCTACAGCATTAACGCGACCCCTGCAAATGTGTAGGGCGGTCCGGTGATGAAATGTGAAGCCTCCCCACATCATTACACTTCCCCCACCCCATCGATTCGTTTCGAAGACGCAGCAGTCTGCAAGACGTTCCTCAAGACGTCTCCACACACGTTGACGGCCATCAGCGTGATAAAGATGAAAGCGACTCCCATCACTGAAGAGCACACTTTGCCAGTCTACTCTTCTCCATGTCTGGTGTGTCCTTGAGCCCATATCAAACGCCGCTGACGGTCATGATCCCTAAGGATAGCTCCAACATAAGGTCGTCGTCGAGTCCTACTTCTCTTAGACGACGTCTTACGGTGTTGGCACTTACTGGTCCTTGTCTTTCGACGACTGCCGCACATGTTTGAGTCGCTGGGCAGAATCTGTCACGCAGATGAGTGACCCGGATGTAGCGGTCTTGAGCCTGGGTTGTAACGCGTTGTGGACCAGGACGTTGACGGTCACGCGTTGATCCAGTAACTCGAATACGTTCCACCAACCTTACAGTAGTGGACTGATGACAATTGAGGTGTCTGGCAATAATAGCACGCGTAGACATGCCAGCCCTGGACATTTCCATGGCTTCATTCCGTTGATTTTCAGTAAGTCTCGGCATCTCTAGCTCGATTCCTTCACACGTCCAACAACAAATTACGATAAATTCACGTTTCACAGTTCATGTACAGCACATTAAGTTGAAAACATGCTTTTAAAGGGCTCACACACAATGCTGCAGGTGAATATTGGGTTTTTCATGTGCATCTCATGCAATTTTTTTTTGTGCACACGGGCCGAAAATTTTTGCGTTTGGAAGCATTGTGTGAAACAATAGTTCATAGTATTGCATAATATTATACATACAAAACCAACTAGTAATAAAATATTTGGGAAAAAAAGTGATGCGTTTTCCATGGCGCTCAGTAATATAACGGTATCTACTTAAAATGATCATTTAAATACTTAAAAGAGATTGAATTGATTTCATTATTCTTTTATTATTATTTCTTTTTTTTATACCGGAATAGTATTATTAAATTTACATTAGCACTATTAGATGTCGATCTACGGCTGTTTTTATTAATAATTTGTTTAGTGAAGCCGAATGATCGAGATTTTGCCGTGGGTAACAAAACTCCGTCAAATCAAATAGCCCAGTGACGTGTAGAATAGATCAAATGGCTTGCTATGTGTCGCAAATTATTCGTTTAACGGCTATGTATATGAGTAATATGAAAAAACTAATGATGAGAGATTTCATTTAGTTAGATCTACTTGCGCAACACATCAACGCAAATGTCTAGCCTAGACAAGTGCAGATCACGTCGGTTCTAAATTCTACGTCGCTTGGCCTAGACTCGTGTATTCTGAGCGGACTGACACAATCATGCAGCTGGTCCAGCTAGTTTTAAAAGTTAAAGCAAGAATTTCATATTTTCTAAGAAAGTCAAAACATAATTATTTCTATATCTTTTCCTCAATAGGCTGTCAACTCAATATTATAGGATCATAGGTATCATTATGGCACTTATAAAATCATTCACACCGGAAATAATAACACAATTACCACCTTTGTTGTTCTACCCCCCCCCCCCCCCCATGGAAAAACTATCTGCAAACATTTGAATTAGAAGTTGAAAATGATATTTTGGCCAATTTCTCAACTGGCAATAGTGAATTATAGGAATAATAGGATTATTCTGTAACAAGGTAGGACTGTTTATAGATACCATCTATTTTAAAGCTTTACTTTAATACATTTTAAAAATATAACTTAAAAATATGAAATTCACTCGGCACAGCTGCAGTCTGAGTGTGTTTTGAAATGAACGTCGCCACTTACATCGCGGTAGTCAACAAAGTCCAAACCTACATTGCCGGTAATCAAATTCGAGGGGCTTTCATATTCAACTTAATAATAATAGTCTCTGTTACTACATGATGTATGTATAGGTGCGCGTGTTTTACATACATGTAAATATAGTTGGTGTTTTTGTTGTTTTATAGCCATTGATAATGCTGTTGCGTAGGTAGCCTAATGTTTTGTTTGTATTTGTATGCTGTCTCTAATAGCCTAATGGGGTGTTAAGATACAATATAATTTTATCTGATCTTATATTAGCCTTAGAAGAAGCAATTGACGATTTTTATATCCCTTCCACATACCCGGTTGAGAGTTAAAATAATAGAACTTACCTTCGGCACGAACCAAAAAACCAATATTGCGTCCCAGAAGCATCTTTCGCGGCAACATTTAGAGTCACGTTATCAGTTTCCGCGGGAAAAAAAACCGCTAGTGTTACCAGATAATTTACTGAAGAATTAACCGGAATATTTGTCAGCTTCTAGTTGTTTTACAATAAGCCTTAAATAAAATGTATTATAGTTTGTATTGTGTTATTAAATCTCGATCTACGTCGTTAACCAATACAACTGTACCCAAGATCATACGTCAATTTCTATAGATAAGCGCATTGCAATTCCTGTTTTATGCACTGAATTTGTGTAGCAAACGCTGCACACTACACAATATGCATTAATCACCATTTTCTGTGTTTTGTGTTATTATTTCAATTGAAAAACACCGGATGTAAAAACAGCGACATTTAGGTGCGGGAGAGGCATCTCGTTTACAGTTCATAATACATTTTTATAATACTTGACGGACGCAAACGCCTTTTCTTGCTTTCCCAACCCGTGTGCTCAGCAACATGAAAGCAAGCCAGTATTGCCTATTTAGTACACCAATAACTTTAATGCATTAAAGGAAATTATGATTTCCGAAAAATTATAAAACAAATAACTGACCGATGTCGCACACCGCCGAGTGGGACCCGACGAAATGTTTCAATCCGCGATCAATGCAGTACAAATTCGCCGTGTTCAATGACAAGAAAGTGAAAATGTTTTATTATACTTAAAAATCATCGAATTTGGGGATCTTTATTTGACTGACAAGAAAGCAAAATATTTTCTTCCAAATAACATTCTGAAAGTTCCGCTTTCACTTTCTCTCGGGATTTTGAATGTGACTTTTTACCTAAATGGCTGCCGGGAACAGGGAATGTCAGGCAATGTCATGACCTTGACTCAGGTTACAACCCCAAAATTGACCTTGCGGGTGCGGGTCACGACTTTGACCTTGAGATTTATTCGTGATATCTGGGTGGTACATGAAGTTTTGGGACTTTTTCGATCCCAAGGTCAAGGGTCAGGTCAAAGGTCAAGGCCCCATTCGAAAGGTCAATGAGTTGCCTATCCATGGTCATGACCTTTGATTTGCCGCGCAGACCAGGGGCCCCACCATGTGCCCGGGAGCATCGAACTCAGTAGATATTTTGGTGACCTTGACCCTTTCTGATGACCTTGACCTACCGGGGTCATGTGGACCAAGATGACATTTTGGAAGGTCAAGGTCCAGTGGTCCTGACTTTATTAGATGGGCCCCTAGGGTTCAAAAACCAAAATACTTCCGGGGCCCCTAGCGGGTCAAGGTCACGACTTTTGGTTGGCGATTTTAAAAAATGAAGAACAAATGTTGGGTCAGTCTATCGGGTCACCAAACCCCGGGGCGATCGGATGACATTTTTGGGGCAAATTTCCCTAGAAAGTGAAATAGCTGAGCATTACAGCGGTGTGGTCTAAGGGCAGATAACTCGCCCATCCCAAATCGGATCCGACGACCTTGAGGTCGTGGCTATTTAAACTAAATTGACCCCTGGGAGTCTCGTGGTGACCTTGGTTTGACAATCAGAGGTCAAGGTTCGAACTGCTATATATGACGTTTCGATAACGTTATGACAATGTTGTGACAACGTTTTAACAACGTTGTGACAACAACCTGTATATGAAGTTTTGATAACGTTGTGACAACGTTGTGACAACAACCTGTATATGACGTTTTGATAACGTTTTGAAGACGTTGTGACAACGTTGTGACCACGTTGTAACAACGCCGTGACAACAACCTGTATATGACGTTTTGATAACGTTGTGACAACGTTGTGACAACAACCTGTATATGACGTTTTGATAACGTTTTGAAGACGTTGTGACCACGTTGTAACAACGCCGTGACAACAACCTGTATATGACGTTTTGATAACGTTGTGAGATATTGTGTGAACAACCTGTATAATAATGACGTTTTGGTAACGTTTTGAAGACGTTGTGACAACGTTGTGACAAAGTTGTAAAACCGCTGTGACAACAACCTGTATATGACGTTTTGATAACGTTGTGACAACAACCTGTATATGACGTTTGAATAACGTTTTGATGACGTTGTGACAACGTTGTGACAACAACCTGTATATGACGTTTTGATAACGTTTTGAAGACGTTGTTACAACGTTGTGACAACGTTGTAACAACGTTGTAACAACGCCGTGACGACAACCTGTATATGACGTTTTGATAACGTTGTGACAACGTTGTGACAACAACCTGTATATGACGTTAGAATAACGTCTTGATGACGTTGTGACAATGTTGTGACAACGTTGTGACAACAACCTGTATATGACGTTTTGATAACGTTTTGATGACGTTGTGACAACGTTGTGTCAACAACCTGTATATGACGTAAATACAACGTCGAATATTGGTCGAAAACACGTTGTACAACGTCACGACCAATATTGACGTTGTCACAATGTTGTAACAACGTTGCGTGCCCGCTGGGTGGTTGTGTGAAATATACCTTTAATGACTGTGCAGACGTTATTGGTACTAATAATCCTTTAATGGCGATCGTGGCTGTTCGTGTGAAACCAAAAATGCAGTGACTAGAGTATTTCCACTTATGCATTTGTAGACAATGGAAGTGGAGCAGTGTTTATTGATGAAGACTTAGTGCATTCCTTAAAGTTGCGCTATAGAGAAACTCTTATTAATTTGAAAACCTTGAATTCTGACGAATTATGGGACACTAAATTTCTTACAGATATCATACAAATTATATAGTGGTGTTGACAGTGAAAACTTTCTAGACTTGCCTCCTGCGTATGTAAAAGACTCGATGCCAGTCTCATTATGTGATACCCCAGAGCAAGAAGATTTAAATAAATGGTATCATCTAAAGGACATTACAATCCCAACATTCACTGGCCATTGAATTCCAAAGGTAACCATGATGATTGGAATTAATGTTCCAGCTGCTACTACGCCCCTTGAAATCATAACAGGAAACATTGGTGAACCTTACGCAATTAAGTCACCTATAGGATGGTTGTGTTATGGATTACCTGGAAAATTAAATAAACCTTCTAAAGTAGGTGTTAATTTCTGTGCAGTAGATAATAATTTAGAAGACCAAGTTCGTAGATATTTCAATTTAGAATTTGGAGAAAGACTTAGTGATGAAAAACAGCACTTGTCATTAGAAGACAAGAGATTTCTTAGAATAATGAACGATTCAATAACTCTAAAAGATGAACGATTCAATAACTCTAAAAGATAACTATTATGAAACAGAATTGCCTTTCAGAGATCGAACAGTGAATATGCCAAATAATAAATTGCAGGCCGAATTGTTTGCATATAAGCTAAGAAAACGTTTGCTTAGTAATCCTGTGCTGAATAATAATTATTCAGGTTTTATGAACTATTTAGTTGAGAAAAACTATGCTGAAAAAATCCAAGATCATGAAATTGGTAGGAATGATGGACGTGTTTGGTTTATTCCCCATCACAGCGTTATTCATCCGAAAAAACCTGAATAAATTAGGATTGTTTTCAATTGTCCTCTTGAGTTTAATAACCATTCATTAAATGAACAATTATTACCAGGTCCTGATCTGACTAATAGACTTCTAGGTGTTTTGTTAAGGTGGAGACAGCATCAGATATGTTTCATGGCAAACATCCAAGAGATGTTTTATCAGTGTCGAGTTGTAAAATATGATTGCGATATGATGAGATTTTTGTGGTGGCCAGAAGGACAACTAGACAAACCACTGTGTGAATACAGAATGTTAGTACATTTATTTGGTGCTAGTAGTTTACCTAGTTGCTCAAACTTTGCCTTAAAACAAGTAGCCTGTGATAATAAGAACAAGTGTAGCCCAGAAGTTATAAATGCAATTAATAATAACTTTTACGTAGACGATTTTCTAAAATCTATGCCTAATGAAAATGATGCTATTAAGTTAGTCAAAGAAATATGTGTAATTCTTAAATTAGGTGGTTTTAATCTCACCAAATGGTTAAGTAATAGCAGACAATTACTTAGTACTATTCCAGAGAAAGATAGAGTAGAGGAAGTGAAAAAATTAGACTTTGAAACAGATAATTTACCAATTAAAAGGGCACCCAGTGTTCAGTGGTCTGTAGTTAAAGACCGTTTGGAATTTGATATAAACATTGTTAATCCTAAGGCTACCCGTCGCAATATACTCTCTGCGATGAGTTCCGTGTATGACCCTTGTGGTTTTGTTGCTCCATACGTGTTAAAAGCAAAAATGATTTTGCAAGAACTATGTCGTGCCAAATTGTCGTGGGATGAGACTATTCCCGAGACACATAAACTTGAGTGGGAAAAATGGTTAATAGATTTACCTAATTTATCCAAGGTCAAAGTAAACCGTTGTTTGGTGCCAAATAATTTTGGTAAGGTCGTGAATACCGATCTCCATCATTTTGGGGACGCGTGCCAAACAGGGTATGGAACAGTTACATATGTAGGCCTACGATTTGTGAACAGTGAAGGTGACATTCATGTGGCATTTGTTCTTGGAAGGTCAAGAGTTGCCCCTATTAGACCACATACTATAGTAAAGTTAGAACTTTCAGCTGCAACATGTTTAGTTAGAATAAACACTATGTTACTAAGAGAACTTTCAATTCCAGTGAATTCCATTTATTTTTGGACAGATAGCCAAACAATCATTAAGTATATTAGAAATGACAAAATGAGACATCAGATTTTTGTGTCGAACAGGTTAGCTATTATTCATGATGGCTCTGATGTTAGTCAGTGGCATTATGTACCTTCGAAACTTAATTGTGAAAATTATGCATCTTGTGGTTTGTCTGCAAGTGACTTGATGAACTCTGAGTGGTTGTTTGGTCCAGAATTCCTACGGCAACCCAGCAGTGAGTGGCCCAGTTATCCAGTAGCGTAATCAGACTCTGTTAATGTTTCAAATGTGAATGTTATTAAAGTGGAAACAGATGGTGATAAGTCAGTGATGACTCTCTTTGAACATTATTCAGACTGGGTTCGTCTTAAACGTGCGATTGCCTGGTGGTTAAGACTTCGTAAAGTATTAATACTGAAATCTAAAAATCGTGATGAAGACAGACTTGATAATCTAGTTAATAATAAACCCCTTTTCTTTGAAGAAGTTGATAATGCAGAATGTGAAATTATAAGGTTTGTCCAGCAACAAAACTTTTCTGCTGAGATAAAAACTTTTAAGTGATTAGAACCCTGAATTCATGAAGTCTGTAAACTCTAACAGTGTAATTTCAAATCTTGATCCTGTGCTTCAAGATGGTTTACTTCGAGTTGGTGGTAGACTTTGTCATGCCAATATACAATATAACGCGAAACATTAGTTAATACTTCCCAGAGTGAACCATGTATCAAACTTAATAGTGAAATATTGTCATCAAAGGTAGGGTGACCCATGCACTCTACTGAAATACAGTCCACCGCTGATAGTTCGAGACTACCACTGAAGCGTGCACATTCGCCGTGTCGAGACCAACTTTCTGACAGTATGATACTATAAATAGCCATGGCACGTGCAATTCTCTACAAATCTATCAACTATTACAGCCGTAAAAAATTTATTGTTGACGATTTTGAATAGCAGTAAAATTAAGCTTCTTGGTTATTACAGCAGATATAGAAATTACGTTCGTTTCATTTTTTAAATTGCTTTATCATTAATTAGACCGTTAGGAGTGGCATCTTTTGGTTTAGTACAAATAATATCTCTGAATAACGCGGGTTGGGCAGGAAAATGATACAGTCCACCGCTGATAGTTCGAGACTACCACTGAAGCGTGCACATTCGCCGTGTCGAGACCAACTTTCTGACAGTATGATACTATAAATAGCCATGGCACGTGCAATTCTCTACAAATCTATCAACTATTACAGCCGTAAAAAATTTATTGTTGACGATTTTGAATAGCAGTAAAATTAAGCTTCTTGGTTATTACAGCAGATATAGAAATTACGTTCGTTTCATTTTTTAAATTGCTTTATCATTAATTAGACCGTTAGGAGTGGCATCTTTTGGTTTAGTACAAATAATATCTCTGAATAACGCGGGTTGGGCAGGAAAATGATACTAGCAGTAGTTTCATTTTACTTTTACATGGTTCTTAAAACAATTGTCGTTCATCAGCTTTTAATCTTGAATATGGTAAATCAGCCATTTTTTGTTCACCTACAATTCCGCTAAGGTATGATTTCTGCCCTGGTGACATACCCTTTGATAGGCTGCCCCACCATAAATAAATATCTCCAAATATCTCGACAATTACACCATAATACTTATATATATACTAAGCTTAAAATCAGTTTCGCACAATTATAGTCACTAAATAAACGGTCATGTTGTACTTAATAAGATATGACCATTTAACCATCTATAAATAATACACTGAAAAATGGTTCGGAGTGTCGTCCATGACATCCAGACACTTTTTAGCAAAAAATAGGTTACGTGCCCTTGTTTTGAAATTAGTCCCACTTAACCAGTCTACCGACCATTCTCCGTCTGATTGACAGGCCGGGATAATCAAGACTACTTTTTTACGAAACATGACAGAAAGCTAGAACAAGAAATTGAATTTACAATGTGCACGCTTCAGTGGTAGTCTCGAACTATCAGCGGTGGACTGTATTTCTGTAGAGTGCATGGGTCACCCTACCTTTGATGACAATATTTCACTATTAAGTTTGATACATGGTTCACTCTGGGAAGTATTAACTAATGTTTCGCGTTATATTGTATATTGGCATGACGAAGTCTACCACCAACTCGAAGTAAACCATCTTGAAGCACAGGATCAAGATTTGAAATTACACTGTTAGAGTTTACAGACTTCATGAATTCAGGGTTCTAATCACTTAAAAGTTTTTATCTCAGCAGAAAAGTTTTGTTGCTGGACAAACCTTATAATTTCACATTCTGCATTATCAACTTCTTCAAAGGAAAGGGGTTTATTATTAACTAGATTATCAAGTCTGTCTTCATCACGATTTTTAGATTTCAGTATTAATACTTTACGAAGTCTTAACCACCAGGCAATCGCACGTTTAAGACGAACCCAGACTAATTTTTTTTTCAGAATAGCTATCACAGCAGAATTTTCTATAGAATGGTCCCAGCAATTGGAATTGTGATTAAATTATTCAGCAGAGCAGGAATTGTCGTTAGATTATCCACCACAGCAAAAAACCAGCGGCTGCCAGGCAGAATATGCCCACATTTTCGAGAGATGGATAGAGAACAAGCTAAAAAGAAAGTGATTTTTCCTACAATCAAGGGCCATAATTCAGGAAATTACAATTCGATATGCGCAAATATCGAAAGGAACCGAAATCTTTGGGTTATAAACTTACATTTCAAGTTTCAACAAAATTGGATAAAAATTGTGATCTCTATAGGGTCCACATGTATGGCTTCCCTTTTGTTTGGTTTAATGGTATGTTTACCCCTATTATCAGTCCTTTATTATTCCCTTGATGTACCCTCACCTAGCCAATCACATCATGTATGGTTTCTCATTTGTCATGATTGGTTGTCCAATTAAAATTATTTACCCGTATAATCCGTCATATGTATATTGCCTTTGATCATGTTGTTTTTTAATCCTTTGATCTTGTTGTTGTCATGCATGGTTTCTGAATTGTTGTTATTGTTTGTCTATATATAATTGCTCTACACATTTGTTACTGTACTTGCTTGAAAATGTTGAGAGAATACTCTTCGAAACGTCGCCCAAATAAATCAGTAATTGTTCTTCCATAAGTATGTGTTACAGTTTATTGCTCTAACCAATTACTAAATGCCTCTTAAAGATCAGGGTCCACAACCTTGATATACCATATTTTTAAGCTATTTGAGAACGAGGTGCGGCCATTTTGTCTGTCAGTTTTGGGCCGATTTTCACGAAATTCGAACTTAGTCGTCCTTAGGGTGTAACGGTGATATGATAATACGTTTTTTTAAATCGGATAAAAATTATGACCTCTATAGGGTCCACAAGCTAAAAACGTGATTTTTCGTACAATCAGGGGCCATAATTCAGGAAGTTACGGTCCGATATGCGCGAATATCGAAAGGAACCGAGATCTTTGGGTTATAAACTTATATTTCAAGTTTCAACAAAATCGGATAAAAATTGTGACCTCTATAGGGTCCACAACCTTGATATACCATATTTTTACGCTATTTGAGAACGAACGGCGGCCATATTGTCTGTCAGTTTTGGGCCGATTTTCACGAAATTCAAACTCAGCCGTTCTTAGGGTTTACCGGTGATATAATAATACAGTGTATGGACCAGGTCCAGAAAAGGGGCTAAATTTTGGATGTTTGTGTTGTGTCCAGTTCACTGACATTTAATTTTCTGGTATGCTAATCTAAACAACATGTCCGACTTGATAGCATTATTACCCTAATTATATGTTGACAACTATAAACCTGCCTGCTATTGGGAGTATCAAATGACATCATTTATTATAATCGGTATCATTTCTGGGGAAATTAGTTGTTTATTTATTCCAAAAAACAAGTTTTATCATTAAAAAGAATGGTAGTGGATGCCAGAATAAAATTGACGTCTTTCAATAAAGGTGAGCTATTTATAATTATATTCTTTCTGAAAACAGAACATATGCATTATGTAGTTTAATTGGATAAGGATTTGCATGTCTAAACCAGAGACAAAGTACATGTTCTGTAGAAGTGTGTATTCGTACAGAATTTGCAAATACTTAACTAGATAAAATTTAAATTGCTCATTTCATTTTAAAAATAAAGTAACATTTTTTAAACTGTCATTTTAAATATGGTGAATTAACTAATGATGAAGTTGATAGATAACAGCTTAACACTGTTACATATGGAGACTGTCATATAACCAATATACATAACATATTCTTTTTATTCAAGGAAGAACACAGATACCAGACCAGAGCTGTTATTTTAATTTGAGAGGGCACATTTCATCCGGTCCTGATTTTCATACGACTATATGTTCTTGTGGATGTATACTGCTGTCGCCGCTGTCCATTTGTCCGGCCATAATTTGTTTGTGGAAATTCAACAGATCACAATTGTTATCTGATGTTGACAGAACTTGAAATATAGGCATATCTCCCAAAGATCTTGGTCTCTTTCGATATTGGCATGTACCAGACCGGGTCTCGTTTTTAGCTTGTGGATTCTCTAGAGGTCACAATTTTCATCCAGTTATATATTTATATCCCAAAGATCTGGGTTCCTAATGTTGATACTTCAGACCGTAACTTGCTGGATTATGACCACTGATTGTAAAAAAAAAAAACGCCTTTTTGTTAGCTTGTTCTGTCCATCTAATGAAGACGGGCATATGCCATACAGTGTGCTATGAGAGAAATTTTGCCCAGGCAGCTGCACCATGGCTTACTCTTATATCGAATTCCTACTGCCAAGGGATCTTTTACGTGCACGCTAATGTATACCCTGGCAGTCGGTTTTGGTACCATCCGAACGACTAGACAGCTGTCCTTATCAGTCCCTCCGTCCGGCACCACTGACAAGGGGAAGCCAGGTCGGAAAATCCCAACGAACTTTCTCGACCAGTGTCTTACCCACTTAGCAACCGTGGCTCTCAACAATTTAAGATACTGATGATCAATAAAAATGTAGACATTTTAGAATATTTGGGAGCTTTTGTATACAATTTGTTCATGTCTTTGTAAAGTGTACCGGGTGACACCAAAAAAGCGTTCATCACCTAAACTTGGTCGATGAAGAGGGGTCGTCAGGGACCTCCAGTGGTTCCAGCAGGATGGTGCCACCCCCACACCTCAAACGAATCATTGGCAGGGCTACAGCAGCGTTTCCCTGACCGACTGATCAGCCGCAGGTGTGACCCTCGCGTTTCTTCTATTACATCAAATTTAAAATATAAAAAGCTTAGTATAACTTTATGTAATATTTGAATCAAATGTTATTTTTTTTATTAAATTTTTATTTTAATTTTTTTTTTCTACATTGAATCTGAATGTGAATTAAAAGTCTCATATAGAAACTGATCCAAACCCATCTAAATATAGAGCAGTGTAATATGATACTTAGCATGCTCTAAACACCACATCATCTGTATCTGATAATTATGCTACAACATATTGTCTTTGACAAGTTGATGACAAGATTCTCTTCAACAGAACTGTATTGTCTGTGGGGGTCGCATTCCTAAATTTGGGGAAAAATGGCTAATTTTCATCTAGTCCAAGTACTGAATACGGTTTTTTAAATCAGATAAAAATTATGACCTCTATAGGGTCCACAAGCTAAAAACGCGATTTTTCGTACAATCAGGGCGAATAATTCAGGAAGTTATGGTCCGATATGCGTGAATATCGAAAGGAACCGAGATCTTTGGGTTATAAACTTAAATTTCAAGTTTCAACAAAATCGGATAAAAATTGTGACCTCTATAGGGTCCACAACATTGAAATACCATATTTTTACGCTATTTGAGAACGAAGGGCGTCCATTTTGTCTGTCATTTTTGGTCCGATTTTCTTGAAATTCGACCTCAGTCGGCCTTGGGGTGTAACGGTGATATAATAATACGTTTTTTTAAATCGGATAAAAATTATGACCTATAGGGTCCACAAGCTAAAAACGCGATTTTTCGTACAATCAGGGGCCATAATTCAGGAAGTTACGGTCCGATATGCGCGAATATCGAAAGGAACCGAGATCTTTGGGTTATAAACTTACATTTCAAGTTTCAACAAAATCGGATAAAAATTGTGACCTCTATAGTGTCCACAACCTTGATATACCATACTTTTACGCTATTTGAGAACGAACGGCGGCCATTTTGTCTGTCAATTTTAGGCCGATTTTCACGAAATTCGAACTCAGTCATCCTTAGGGTGTAACAGTGATATAATAATACGTTTTTTTAAATCGGATAAAAATTGTGACCTCTATAGGGTCCACAACCTTGATATACCATATTGTTACGCTATTTGAGAACGAAGGGCAGCCATTTTATCTGTCAGTTTTTGGCCGATTTTCACGAAATTCGAAATCAGTCGTCCTTAGGGTGTAACAGTGATATAATAATATGGTTTTTTAAATCGGATAAAAATTATGACCTCTATAGGGTCCACTAGCTAAAAAAGCGATTTTTCGTACAATCAGGGGCCATAATTCAGGAAGTTTCGGTCGCAAATATCGAAAGGAACCGAGATCTTTGGGTTATAAACTTACATCTCACGATTCAACAAAATCGGATAAAAATTGTGACCTCTATTGGGTTCACAAGCCAAAAACGTGATTTTTCGTACAAACAGGGGCCATAATCCATGAAGTTTCGATCTGATACATACCAATATCGAAAGCAGCCGAGATCTCTTGGACATACACCTATATTTCAAGTTTCGTTAAAATCGGATAAAAATTGTGACCTGTAGAGTGTCCACAAACAAATTGTGGACGTCCGGACGGACAGGGGCGACGGCATAATACGTCCTCATGAAAATGTGGGCGTATAAAAATCATCACAATAGCCATTACACCAGAATTTTCGTCACAATAGCCATTACACCAGAATTTTCTTCACAATAGCCATTAAACCAGAATGGCTTTCCAGCTTGGTTCTCACAGTAGGATTTTCTATAGATTGGTTCCAACAGCACCATTTTTCTTTAGAATATCCATTATATCAAGAATTTCGTGAGATTATTCATCACAGTAGAAATATTCGGCAGAATAGCCACTACACCAGACTAATTTTTTTGTCAGAATAGCTATCGCAGCAGAATTTTCTATAGAATGGTCCCAGCAATTGGAATTGTGATTAGATTATTCAACAGAGCAGGAATTGTTAGATTATCCACGACAGCAAAAAAAAATCATCACAATATCCATTACACCAGAATTTTCGTCACAATAGCCATTACTACACCAGAATTTTCTTCACAATAGCCATTACACCAGAATGGTTTTTCAGCTTGGTTCTCACAGTAGGATTTTCTATAGATTGGTTCCAACAGCACCATTTTTCTTTAGAATATCTATTATATCAGGAATTTCGTGAGATTATCCATCACAGCAGAATAGCCACTACAACAGACTTTTTTTTTTGTCAGAATAGCTATCGCAGCAGAATTTTCTATAGAATGGTCCCAGCAATTGGAATTGTGATTAGATTATTCAGCTTGGTTCTCACAGTAGGATTTTCTATAGATTGGTTCCAACAGCACCATCTTTCTTTAGAATATCCATTATATCAGGAATTTCGTTAGATTATCCATCACAGTAGAAATATTCTGCAGAATAGCCACTACACCAGACTAATTTTTTTGTCAGAATAGCTATCGCAGCAGAATTTTCTATAGAATGGTCCCAGCAATTGGAATTGTGATTAGATTATTCAGCAGAGCAGGAATTGTCGTTCTGCTTCCTCTAAGGAATTAAACATCTTTGTTGGCAGGTCCGTCGCCATAGCTGGCAGTTCCGTCGCCATATTTCTCTGCTCTGAATAATATCCAGAAAGCGACCTTCACTGATCATGTCAAGGCGTGGTTAGGCTTTTTAATTCCCGCCTACAAATACGTTCATTTAGCTATTGGTAGCTCCCCCCCTTTTTGTGTTTTTACTAGGTGCCATATAGCATCAACCCACGCCATCACTCACAACCTCATAACGAGACCACAGGAAGTTAAACAGTCAAGATCACAAAGTCTCTTTCACACAAACTAATAACAACACTACAGACACGATCAACCAGTCACTCAACACTAAAAGGCAAACGACTTCACAGACACAACATATAAACAATATTTTGGACATTACACTAAGATTA